TACATTAATAAGCAACTACACACATTCTGATACAGGGTGCCTATTTTTACTTATTCTTACTCCCTTTTGTCACCAAAATTTCTTTTTAAGTTGTAAAGTATATGGAATAGAACTCGGGGCTGGAGTAAACTTTTTGAAGAGTTTTCAAATTTTTAATGCAAAAATTAGCAAGGGAACTTCCGAAATTCGTGAGAATTTAATCTTATTTTAATTGAGAGCTTCTCGCTTTCTTTCGCGCTGAATATCACACGGAATCCAGACAAATATAAATAATTAAATCAAATAAATGTAGAGAATTTCTTTTCTAATCGAAAAAAAAATTTATGTCAGTTCAATGTTGAAAAGATAAAACAAGAAAGTGTCGTTTATTATTTCAGGATTAAATTTTCATATCTGAACAATTGGCTAAAGGAGGCTATGTGAGCTGGTTTTCCGATATCAATGATTTTCGGTGTCAATGTTTATTTGTTGATACGAATGGATGCTACTAATTTTTGATGGATTTTTTATAAATCGGATTGCTAAGAGACTATTTCACGTCTATACGATATTAGTAAGAGACTATTTCACGCCAAGTTAACAGGTTAACAGCAAACTACCAGACACTGTCAAAATATTTACAGAAGAATGATATTTGGGAGACAATTATTTTATTATTATCTCGCTCAGAAATTTTGCCAAACAGTGTCAATCTCTGGCGGCAGTGGTAAAATAGTCTCTTATTCTCATTATTTAAAGTTCTCTGATTTCTACGATTTTTGCGATGATATATATCATATTTATAGATGAATGTACTCGATTACTACCAAACTTCACGCTCTTAATTGCCGAGTGACGGATTAATGTCCCAAATTATCAAATCTGAAAAATCAGTCGTATACATATATTTTAAAGCGGTCCGATATGGCCTGGGGCGAATGATCGTTTAAATGTACCAGTGCATCTGTGTCCCAGTTTTAGTTGAAATAACTCAAAAACTCAGGGACTAGTTTGCGTACATACAGACGGACAGACTGGTATATGTAAATGAACTCAACTCGTCATTCTGATCATAACGATATAAATTCTGATGGGTATATCTCTTAAACTGGTGTTTTCATACCTCGGTTGAAAGTTAACAAACATTCCATTTGCTGTACATAAGAGCTATAAATATATACCATTTATTTATTTTTCATGATTTCATTTCCCCTCTCATTATTAAACCAGAATGCTTGTCATAATTGAACAAACTTAACAACTCGACCGCTCAAATTTCATATTCAACACAGCTGGGGAAGGTAGAGAAATGAAGTTGATTATATCTACGAGTATATACAGCTATGTATATACGTATATAAATCCTGCGCGCGCACGTTTCCCCACTTTTGGCATTGTGTATTGAAGTTTGTTTGGATATGTGCCAACCAATGTATATTTTTAGGTGGTTATAAATATGTTGCTATTTAAGTATATATATATATGTAGATAAACATAAAATTTAATATATGTATGTACATATTTATATATATGTACTTACCCAAAATTCTTACACAGATTTTATAATATTTAAGCATTTAATTAAACTCAAATAGATATATGTATACTAGAAAGTAAATATATATGCGTATGTATACATACATATATAATATAATATATATCTTTATGTATACAAGCCTTAATTATTTTCACTGAAAAATTTGCATTTTTACATCTTCGTTCCATCAAACAAACGCAAATGCTTTTACATTCCATTTGATTACTACACCAAGCGGTATATTCCTTTTCTTCTTCTTCTTCTTACTCCTCCTCATTTCCCATTGTCTTACTGTACTTACGATGACTTTAATGAACCTGTGATTAAGAAAACATATGAAGGCCATCGGGAATTCAGCCGTGCACGTACATATGTACATATATATGTAAATACACGTAAATGTAAAGAGCGGAGTTAAATGGCGCAACAGCTTGTCTTCTTTGGATTCTGCTTTCATTTTGCCTGATACATTGATTGCTTTCCTTGTCAATGTGGTTATATTTACGGCTGTTTGGATTGCCGATTGCCATTTAAAATTTTCACTTGGATTTTATTACTAAATATTCAGTTCTCATATTTTCTTTTATTATTTCAAGGTATTTAATGGCTTTTGTAAAGAATTAAGAGAATTAATATTGTATCAGTCAGTTCTTCAATAATTTCGCTGTTTAGTGCCAATTCCTTTTCCTCTACTTGGCAAATTTGAGAAACTAGAATGGGAGCTTTTTCGCCGAACTACATCAGCGTTTCCGTATATCTTGTTCTGCTCATCGTTTCATAAGCTAAGTCTTTCGTTAATCCCATCTCATCGGTTGTTGACATCCTCCGCATCTCAGACCTTGTGGCAGAGAGAGAGAGAGAGAACTTACCCTTCTTCTAAGACTTACATTATTATTGGAGTTAATCTTCGCTGGTATACTTATATTCCGGGAAGTAAAAAGTAATCCATTATTCTTGAACATAGCTGGGCATTTCCGGGCGATAGTTTCTTCAGACAGTCCAATTGTTGGTAGTGCTTGTGGGAATTAAGAGTTTTGCCGTAGAAGAGCAGTGGACGGCCAATCCCACCAAACGTACAATAAAACCTTCCTGGCCGTTAATCCTGGCTTTTAGGCCGTTTGTGCCAACTCACTGGCCTTTGACCACGACAGTTTTCATTTGACGTTAATTTAAGTGGTCTACTTTTCATCACCAGTCACCATCCGTTTCTCCGGTTCCGAAATGGTTCGATTTGTTACGATTCAGCAGCGATTCGCAATTGGAAATTCGGTCCGTGAGGTTTTTTCACGTTAACTCATGTGCTCAAATGTGCTTAGGTCGATTCATTATCTATTTAATAATAGGCTATGTTTTGTTAATGAATTTTTGGTTTTTAGGTTCATTCATCTTATTAACTGTATTATTCCTAAAGCTTGCTTTCCTACGGTGGTATAGTGGTGATTTCAAAGATCCCTACACGCGTAAAATTCTATATAACTCTTTGGTTCGCTCAAAGCTGGAGTTTGCGTGATGAATTTGGAATTCAATTTATTCTACGCATTCCTCTGGACTTGAAATCGTCTCCGCTTCACTTCTGATCCCTTACTTTCTTATACTTCCCGAAGTAAGCTAATTAATCTCAAACCTCTTGCTCTTCGACGATATATCCGTTATTATATATTTTGACATCATCATTGCCTTCGTCGACTGCCCAGAGCTGCTTGAACAAATTAGCTTCAATGTTCCTCATAGAAGATTAAGTTCTCATTATCCGTTCTACTTAGATGTACTCGTAAGTAAAACCAATTATCATAGTTACGATCCCATTGTTAGAGTACTCTCTTAATTTGATCTATTTTTTTTATTCATAAAATACCTACTGATTGTGGTAACCCTCTTCTTCTCCTGTCCATTGATATATTTGCCATCGCTCTAGCTTGTTTCGTTCGCCAACTGGGTCGTGTTGAGTAAACGTGTGTTCGCGGTGTTCGCACGAAAATGGAATAATGAAATCAAGAGCAATGCATCGCGATAAAATTTTGCACCGAATTGAGTGAAACAGCTTCGGAAACGTACGCTAAAATTGTAAAAGTGCATGGTGATAGTACTCTTAGTCGTGCCCAAATGTCACAATGGTCCCCCGCCTGAAAAAAGCTCACACGAGCAAGTCGAAGGTGAAAACGATGATTATTGCCTTTTTGATAGCCGTGGAATCGTTCACAAAGAACTTTTTCCACCGGAGCAAACCATAAATCAAGTCTGTTATCGCCAATTACTCGAAAGACTACGAAAACGAGTCAACGACAAAGTGCCATGCCACACTGCCCTCAGCGTGTCCCAGTATTTGGCCTCTAAAGGGATCGCCGTGTTACAACAACCGCCTTATTCGCCCGATATGTCACCCTGTGACTTTTTTTGTTCCATACAACAAGGAATCCATTTTGAGTCGATAGAGGACAGCCAGGCGGCCGTGACGAGGGCACTCGCAGACATCCCAGTCGAAAAACATATGAAGGCCATCGGGATGGAAAACGCGTGGAATCAGTCTCATTGCTTAATTATCACACCTCGTTGTTTAAAGTTTTTTATTTAATTGTACATCTAGTCTGTAAGGTTTTAAAAATCATTGACTTAATAAATATGAATGAAATTGAATCCATACATTCTTTGTGTATCCACCCTTTTGAAGCGGCTCCAAACTGTCTTTTGTTTTGTTCTTTCCTTCCTGGGGAATAAAACATTCCATAGACATTTATTATACATGTATCTTTGGCGCTTTGTAATTTTGTCTTGTCGTTGATATTTTTTTAATAATTGGAGTGACCTACACCTTATTCTAAGGCGCATCAGAGCGGATGGTGGTTTTTTAAGAGGAGCTTTTAGTTCATGCCAGAAACACACTCAGAAGTGATGACATTCGCTGCCGAGGCGAGGCCGCAAGTGTCAAAGGCGGTTGTAAGATCTGAAATTTCTCAAATGTTCCAGGCCTTCTTCGTGGTGAATATCTAATGCACTGATATTGTTCGATCAATTTGTTGATGATTTAATGCTTCCCACGATATATGTACAGATGTATACGAATTTATGTGTGTTATTGAGGAGGCTAATACTAAAATATTTGTAATTGCAATACTTCCAAATCATCCCCGTAGGTTGGAGATTCGGTCTCCCTATTTTTGGTGTGTCTCTTTTCAAGCTCCTACCGGCAAAGCTGTGGCCATGCAACTAGTTGTGCCCTGCCCGAAGTCAACTCAAGTTATTCGTAGTCACAAAATGCGTAGCGCAAGATAGCAACGTTGAGAGTTCGTCTCTAGTATTCAATCAGCAATATACCAATAAATAGAAAAACTGACAAAGTTGGAAAAATTATTTTAACAACATCCTAGCAAATTCAATCGCAGTCTTTAAGAAGATATTTCAAAAATACTTTTTAAACATTTTCACCTTGTAACACGTTTATATTTTAGAAAAATACTCAGTAACTGATTCTTATCTCCCTCGACAGGTTGATTTTGGTGAAGTCTTTATCCCACCGAATCTCGATGTACCAAAGCCACGTGTCCTGCCCGAATTCAAGCGCCTAGCACATGGTCTACGTTCCAGCAATATAAGTGTCTTGGACGCTAAGACATTCTATATACCCAATCTGCATTATGACGGTGCTGGTCCAGATGCCTACTTTTGGGTGGGTAATGGCACCGAACCCAATATTATGGGTATAAAGGTAAGTTCTACAGTTTTTTTTGCCTCAATACTTATGAAATTACGGTGAAATGTTGAATGCTTTTATAATCTCCACAGGTGCCAAATGAGGTTGGCTCACTAGAACCATTGCGTGGCTATCAGGGTGAGGATATTGAAATTCAGTTGCCTGGCTCGCTCACTGTTTACGATATCGATTGGCTCTCGGTTTGGTGCGTGGAGTATAGGCATAATTTTGGACATGTTTTTATACCGAAAGATTTAGATGTACCACCAGCGTTGGGTCAAACGAAAATAACGGTAAAATATAGATTCCATTTGGAGCAATATTTGTATATATGCATATGTTAATAATAATAATATCTGATAAGTTTTAGTTGATAAATTTCCTTTATTTATTATAAAATCGATTTGAATTGTAGCGCTACTATTGTGATTGTGAGCAGCATTGCGCCTAAAAGTATGCTTCGACAAATTTATATACATACAACATTTTTTGATTGGTTGGTTGGCTCAAAGAGAAGGTTAATAAGCTAACTAGAGGCCAACGCACTTGAGCCATTGATCAGGCTTATTTTGCTCTCCTGCTCATCTCAAAGAGATAAACATTTCCAAGAGATAGTATTGCTTTTGCAAACAGTTCACCCGATTTAATAATTTTTTTAAGCTTCTTCCACTTATATGAAAACTTCTACATAAGGCTGGAGCTTGGAGTATCATGGCGATCGCAAAGTTTAAATGCTGCAGCGTTTCATTCTGTGCTGACTCTATACTCTGCCGATTCTACTTTACCTATCTCTGGGAAATGTTATCTTAGGGTTAAACGGTATTTTAATCCGTTTACAATCTGGGTTATACTTATTCATTACCGAGTGCTGGGATAACTGGGAGAGAAGAAGAAGCTAAGAAAAGGCTTCTTTGTATATATTCGAAAAGTGGTCTGACAATCAGTTTTGCTGAAGGTTCTACGACAGACCCATTTAATGTTTTTAGCGCTACTTGCATCCAAAGCTTATCTAATGTGGCAGCCACCTTGAGAAGTAGAATGGCATCTCTAAATGCACCAGTGATTCTGTATGTAATTTTCTCTACCATTCAGTCGATCTCCGATTTAAGTGTTATTTAAAGTTTTAGTTTTATTGCAGTACCTCGGAAGCTCAGATTCCTTGACGTTAACCTTGAAGTCGATATACCTATGGTCAGAGTGAGTGCTTCAAGCCGACCTGCCATCCTACTAGTATAATTAGTTACAACTAAGACTTTTTCTATGCCTTTTTTAACAAAGGTTAGTGTTCTATCTACATATATAGTTGGAAAGTCCCAAGAGATAAAGTAACCGAGCAGAGCCAGCCGCCTATCTTAACAATCTGAGATGCCGCAGACCAGATGATGGTCGTTAGCATCTGTTCCAATAATAAATTGCAAATTTGTTACCCACAACATTAATTACCATTTGAAATTTAAAAAGTGTCAACTCGAGTTCAGAAGGAAAGGAATTTAAACTTTTCTGCATAGATTCCTTAACTAGATTTTTCTATAATAATTATAATTATCGATTATTATTGTGTCATTATGAGTAATATACCTTTAGTACGTAGCATACTTTTAGGCTCAGAAGTTCTCACAATTGTGAGTTTTTTTCATTTTGTGAGGATTGTCAGAATATAGCCGAATTAGTTTTTCATTCCTTACAGTGTATATATATATATATGTACTTATGTATATCCTTTCATAATTCAAACACATTTTTCGCGCTCTGTAACCTAATGTTCACCAAACAAATAACTCATTAAACATTATATTCTTATATCTTATATCTTTCGCCGACATTAGCCTTCATGGTGGTATACACCTGTAAGTATTAGTTTAGACTACCAACACTCATTGTGTAGTACATTCATACAACCTTTCAAAAAATAAATAAAACAAGGAATAAGCAATAATAAGAAAATTACAAAAAAAAAAAATGAAAAAACAATTACTCACTCACATTTCAGACCACAACAACGCCACGTCCCGTCTACGCCAACTGCCGCGAGATCATACCTGACAAACTGCAGGTGAAATGGGAGCTACAGGGCGAATACATACAGATCGAGCTATTCGGACGCATTGCTGAGGATCAGTATATGGCCTTTGGATTGTCCGGCGCCAATGGACGCGCACAAATGTCGCAATCCGATGTCGTGGTCGCATTTTACGATACCAACGCACGCGTTTTCCGCGCCGAGGACTATTTCATCTCCGATTTGTCGCAATGCGATGGCCAGCATGGCGCTTGTCCTGATAATCGCATTGGCGGTCGCAATGATGTTATTGTTTGTATGTGCCCATTCAATTATTTCCTATTTCACATTAAATTTGAGGTTTACTCGAAATAAAATTCTCTTTCAATTTTTCCGCAGTGAGTGGCGATCGCAAGAATAATGTGACCAGCATTCGTTACAAGCGTCTCATACAAACCAACGAACCAATTTATGATTTTGCCATACCACTAGACCGTGAGGTATCCGTGATCGCTGCGATCGGTCCACTGAATAGTCTTATGGAGGCAAATGCACATTCGCACACCGGCAACGACCACACCATCGACGATGTGCGCATCAATTTCTCAGCGCGGGTTAGTAGTTTTAGAGTTTATTGCTGGTATAGTCAACTAAAAAGGGGTGGGATTTAATATCTATTGCTCTCTCTCCCTCTCTCTCCCTCTCTCTCTCTCTCTACCTCTTTCATATTTACAGAACGATCATTCGTGCAAGAACTCTCTATATAGTTTCAAAGATGAGAGCGGCCCTAAACCTTGGCCAGCCCGCAAAATAGATAATGAGACTGTATTCACCGCACGTATTGGTCCCACAGGTGGTAAACGTGGTTATACGCCACTTACCGGCATACCCTCGTGGGGTATTGCTTGGTACTTGAATGATCAGCTCATACCCGAGTTAACGGTGCAACGTGGTAAAACTTATGAGTTCTTTGTGGAAGGCGGTGACGATCCTGCACAGCCAGCTAGGTAAGTGTAAGGCAGCGGCAACACTATTAACAAATAATATTATAATCTCTTTCTCTCTCTCTCTCTTTCTATCTCTCTGTGTGCACAGATACCATCCATTCTACATAACTGATTCACCGGAGGGCGGCATTGGACAAATGACTGGTCTTGAATTGAGTAAACAGAAAGCTTATGCTGGCGTGGAGTTCGATAAAGATGGTAATCCAATACCGACAGCATGTAAGTAACCTTTTATCATATTCTAAAGAGTTTCATTTCTAATTAAATTTTCTCTTATTCGCTCTTATCATTTCCGTTATCAGTTGGTCGTTACTGTGAGTGGACTCATCGTACGATTGATCAGTCGGCACAAATCGAAACCTTTGAGGAGTATATGAAAACTTTGATTCTGGACTGTCTTGACGGCGAGCCAGGCTATTTAAATTGGACTGTACCAATGGATGCACCTGATCTACTCTATTATCAGGTGAGGAGAAAGAAAGTCGTATTGCAGATGATTTTGCTTTGATACGTAAATTAAATTTTCGAAATTGAGATTTTTCTATGAAATCTTGCTATGTCAAGTCTACTGGTACTGAATCCTAGTTAACATTCACTCAGAGCTTTCTTCTCTCTTTGCCAGGTGGCAGTTTAGTGTTCTTCGGAAATTTTTAAAGCAGAACTTGATATAGTTTAGTCCTTCAGCTTTTGAGGTATTTCAGCCAAACTTGGTTACATCGGCAATCTATAGCATATATACGACCGATTTTTCAGGTTAGAGATTTTGGGTCATAAATCCGTCGAAGAAGCGGCTAAGGACATGGAGAGTGAAATTCGCCACACATAAATTCAAATAAAAATTGGCTCTGAAAATCATAGAAATCTTTTCTTTACATAATTTGCAAAAAAATTTGATAAGCACATGAAGGGTATATATAAAGACTTCGGCTTGGCCGCAGGCAACACCTTCTTTCTTTTTTTATAATAACTACAAAGTCCCAAGCTGCGCTTCTCGAAAACCTTCTTCTCAGGGTTTAATGAACTAAAACCTTTAGAACCTCAAAATGATGGCTTTGAATAATGAGTGGGGATTTAGATTTGGTGGCAGAAGTTATTTCTCTTCTTATCGCTCACAAACTATTCTGACTTCCCATCTGCTGCCAAAGATACTGCGCAAACGCAACGCATAATTCTGACGTAATAGTAGACGCAGTGCTTATAAAAACTTGTTTCTCTTCTCTCACAATATGTTAAAAAATGAGGGGACAAGTTCGGTGTTGACTTAAAGGAAGAAGTTATACTCTGACGGTGAATAAATCTCTAGCTACATTCTCAAAGAGAATCTCTCTCTCAACACTAAATTTATGCTGGCGCAAGTACATGTCCTTTTGCTGCCCTTATCGGAGAGTAAAAATTGGCGGATTCACGTCTTGACGCTTACATCATTGTTGAGAAATGTAAACAATGCCAATAGCAATGTCATCCTTAAATTCAACACAGATTCTCCAAGTCGCTTCTCAATCGCGTTCTGATATATGGTGCAGAAGTGTAGACAATGATGACGTTAAATGACCCAGGACTAGGTGTTTTAAAGAGAAGGATTTTGCCAACAATTTATGGACCTTTGGGTATTGGCAAGGGCGAATACCGTAAATTCTCTGGATGGGCAAAGGAAAAGAAATAATTAAAAAAAAAAAATTATTATCTCGCCTGACATTCCAAATAGAACCAAACGGCCAAAGGACGATAAGCATGGTGAATCGGCCTCAGAAAGAGTTCATCACTTCAGAAGAATTAATATTGAATAGCAAATCCCTCTAACAACGAACAGAGATTAAACTCACAATTCGCTCATCATTCCCGTCCTGCTATATGGTGAGAGAGGCACGGATGATGTCAACTTCTGAGATTTCTGCTCCTCTGTGCGCTGGGAACGACATCTCCCGCAGCCGACGGAACGATGAGCTGTACAAAATATGCGCCGACTTTGACATGGTTCAGCGAATCAAGGGTATCTGCGGCTACGCAGGATCCGGATTGATAAGAGCGCTCCGGCTTTGAAAGGTGAAAAAGTGCCCAGTTGGTGCCAAACTGCGAAAAGAAGGAATGAATGGTGTGCTATTATTAACTCGGCTATAAACATGTTTACGGTGTCTACGCCAGTGAAGAGGAAGCAAAAAAAGAGTCTTGATGATATACCAATAAAAGTAGGCATCATACCCGCCTGCCTTTGACAGATTTGTATTTTATAAGGAAATGCAGTCGGAGGACTTGACATTCTCTGCCGACGGGCGACCACAGTCAGAATAATTAATTTTCTATTATTTTTGGGCGTTGGTCGGTTGCATGGGAAAATGTGAGGGGCGGAAAAGGATTTCGCAATGGCGACCGGGCCATAATTACGTCTTTGTGCCATGTAAAACCTTCTGGGTATGCTATTACAGTCCTAATTGAAATAGCTGAAGTTAAACGTGAAAGAAGGCCAAGGAGATGAGTGGGAATAGTTGGAGTTAGAAGAAGTTAAATTACTTGTTAATTATGCTAAATATAGTTTTACAGAATATATTAATGATTTTGGAATGTGTACAGAAAATACTCGAATTTCGCTTTGCCCAAAACCAATATTAATTTTTCTTTTGCTTTTCACAGTGTTTCACGCATCGCAATCTCGGCTGGAAGATAAATGTGGTCGACGCCTCGGCATCAGCTGCACTGCAATTGACGCTCACAACCGTGATCGTCTACACAATTTCGGCAGTTTTTAGTCTGTTTGTGACGCAAAATATTTTCAGTTTGTCCGTAATTGCCTGATAGTTGACCAAACGAACTGTGTCCATGAAAACTGCTAGGAAGTTTTAAAACTGATTGCCAAGTGGAAAATGTTAAATGGAAAAAAGTGAAATGTGCAAAATTCAGTAAGATGTCATTACTTACATACAAATTCGTATATATACAATAAAGTTAAAAAAAAAATTGATTACTGAAACTATGCACATATCCCCCAGAAAAAAAGAGAAAAAAAAAACATATCCATGAGTACTAACGAGTTCACATACAAAAGTATAGCATATCGGTTGAGTTTAGCGCCAAAAATTACATACATATGTACATTAATATGACATAAGACATATCCTTTTGAAACTAACAAACAAAAATAAAAAGTTACTAACAAATTTGAAATTAAAAAAAATAATACCCTTTCAAACACATCTTAAAGAGCACGCGAGAACTATAAGCATAGTGAATGGGTCCCAAAAAGGTATCGTGCTCCTCATATACAGGAGCATTGGTGCTGATAAGACACTTCGATACCACAAGTTTAAGATCTCTTTTTTATAATGTTTTCGCAAAATCCAAACTTTCTTAACGTAATGAAACAATTTTCTCCACAGGACCGCGTACAGCGTTTGATTTAAAATGGCGATTTGTTCTAGACCACAAAAGAGACTTTTCGGAGATGTGTTTAGAGCTTCAGCGGAGCGAAAATTTTTAAAAACAGCGGGGTAACGTTCAAAGTTTTCGTTATTTAAATCTTTAGCTCTGGAAAAGTTTTGAAATAATTCTTTTTTTTTTTTGAATTTTTTATTAAATTTTCTATCGTTTTATGATTGTTGCAAATATTCAAGAACGGTATGCTGTATTGAAAGAAACTCAAACTTTTTTGAATATTTTTTTTTTTTTTTTGCTAAATTGTTTTCAGAGATGTGTCTGTAAGGGTAGTCAGTGAAATTATGAAAAGAAATCGATTTTTTTTTCATAAAAAAGCATTTTTTTTTTGTTTTTCAATATGTCAAGTTCGAGCAGAGCAAAGCAGCTGCCAAAAAAACAATGGAGTAATTTAGAGCAACTCGAAGCAAAAAGCTCATGAAACATTTTTCGGGCAACAATTTTCAAATGCGAATGTTTAACATTAATGTTGTAAACAAAAGAGAAAATTTTTACAATATTTGCAAATATTATTTAATAAAATGTATTATTTTTATCGTCACTTGTATTTAAGTTGTTTATTGTGGGCCGTGTATATACCGTTCTAATATTTTGTCCGCTTTTGTTTCCCAACCGCGTCTGTCAACAAAATCTTATTGCTTGCTTCAAATTACTCTACCAAAAAAATCAAAGCAGAAAATCATGATCTGAGCTGCTCTATTTCTGCTCAGAGCAGACTCATGAGACAAAAAGTAGAGCAAATAAGAGCCAAAAAGTTTTCATGAAACACAATTTTTTGAACTAGAGTAACTTGGCATAACCTAAAGCAGCTCAGTAAACAAATTTATTTATTATAGAAATTTGTATGAGGTATTTGAAAAAATAGTCTCAAAATTTTGAACATAAACTCGTTTTTTTCAAAGAATTTCGTGATAAAGCTGTTAAATTTTCATTCTTAAAGCTACAATTACGGTCTAGAACATATCCTAAATTTAGACCAATAGCTTCCGTAGGTGCTGAGAAAAAATTGTTTGTTGGGTTTGAGAAAATGTTTTCGAAGACGATAACGAATGGATATAAGTGTCTTAAACTTTAGCATCGAAGTACTTTAACGGTTCAGAAAAGTCCTGAAAAGATGAGCACGAAATCTTTCTGTGTCTGATTCACTATGCGTATTATGCCGCAATGATCTTTTTTTTTTTTTTAGAAAAAACTCAGGTTTTACCTATTCAAAATTTGAAATCTTCTGCATTTTGCACATTTGCACTCCATTCAGGATTTTCCTTTAGCAAGTTCGACAAACTGAAAATTTTGCAAACCAAACAACCAGGCTAATATCATCTAAAAACATATCTTGACAATAATTTTAAGATTAAAAAAAAAACAAAAGAAAAAACAAGAAGAAGAACTAAGTTAAAATAGAAAAAAATATTACAAAAAAATAAACAAAAAAAAACAATTGAATTTGTGTGCATGATTGTTGGATGTGCAAAGAATGTCTGGCTTTGAAGGAATTGTATTTAGAAAAAAAAAAATATATATATATATGCATTAAAACGTACTTACAAACATACATATGTACATGCATTAAAGTAACTAATTTGTACGGCTGGCTGAGGGCAGAAACTTTTTTGTATTTTGTAAAAGATAAAAAGTAAAAAAGAAAAATGTTTGCATAAAATACTAGTTACTTAAACAGACAATATATAATATAATTAATTCGTAGATATGAATGTATTTATGTATTTACTTTTTTGAATTTTTTCTCAAAATTTTTGTACTTTTGTCGGTCAATGGGTTTTTCTCACTAATAAAATACGTATATATATATGTAATTTATTCTATATTTATGTAAGAATTATAAAAAAAAATTGTTGTATATATATTTACAAACAAACACCTGCATACATACATACATATGTACATTGTATATTTATAGAATAAGATTCTTAGCGTTGTACGAGTATTTATGTTGAAGGCAGAGGCGGCTGCGTTATTCTTTTTATATCATAAAATATTTATAAACAAATATTTATGTATGTATTGTACAATGAATTATTAAATGCAAAGAAGCGTTTTGTTTTTTTCTTATAGCATTTAAGCTGACAATAAATGATGACACAAGACAATAAATAAAGGAGTTTATAGCAGAAATGTAGTTGCAAAGCACAAAATCCAAGAGAAATTGTGACCAAGCACAAAAGCAGAATTGCATTGAATAGTGATGTTAGGAGAAATTGTTCAATTAAAAACACTAAAAAAAAACAAAAAAGAAATAACAAAAAGTTTGTGAACAAAAGTAAAACAATAATCTTAATGTATGACAGACAATAAATGAAATTTCGTTGTAAATTTAATGAAAATTTAAAATTTAAAATTTATGCTAATTAATGTACTTGAACTATACATACAATATATATATAAACTAACAAGAAACAATACATACACACATATGTACATACATCGTAAGCATAGTGAACAAAATAAATATGTATGTATGTATTTATTTAAAGCTGCGCATGCGCATAGGTTTCTAAAACTTACAATGCGTTGCTTGAATGATTAAAATAAAAATAATATATAAAAAATTCTTATTTAAAAAAAATGGCTCCGATGAGAAGCAAAGATACTAACCAAATTATATATATAAGCTACTGAATAACAATAATAGCGCTGCAAATCCATTTTGAGTGGAAGCCGAATTTTGTACTTTCTTTAATTTTGGTGCATTGCAGATTACTCTCCAATAAAAAAAATTTGTCCTTTTTAATATTTTGCACAATATTCGTAATTTTCCAAAAAACCCATTATCATATATACATATACATATGTATGTGCATCTGTATAAATTTGTTGTTACGGCAGTAGTCTCCTTTAGAACCGGAGAAAAAAATTTTTTTTAGTAATTTATTTTTTTGGTAAGAAAATTATTGCGGTAAACGACATTTTTAGACAATATATATAAATGTAGCTGCTGAAGCGATTTTCGGCTGAGATTCACCCTCCAATTTGTGGCTTAAGCCGCCTCCGAACGACTTTATTTCATGTCAGAAATAAACTCGGAGATGTTGGCATTACCTGCCGAGGGGCAACCGCAACTAGAAAGTTTAACTTAATTTTTTTATTTTAAATTAAATTTCTATAACTTTTCGATGTTGGTCACACGTGGATTCGAACCCAAGCCTTCTGAATGGCATTACACAATGTTAAAAAGTCGGCTGCCGCGGCCGCCAATAGACAATAATGTACAATATCTAAGCTTCGATAAACCAATTTTAGTTTGGCATTTTCCCATGTTGTGATGAGTTTTCGGAAACGGTCTGCAGTCTGACCTCGTCAAACGGTGCCTAATGGATGTCATGGAGTGCCTCCTCTATATGAATTAAAAAAATTTTGCAGAAGTTGAAAAATTGCAAATATATTCGGAGTTTGAAAAAAAATCACTTAAAGTTGCAAAAAAAAAAATATTTTAAATAATTCTTATGCTCATCTTGTTTAGTTCAAATAGAATATATTTTATTATCGAGGCGAAATCACTTTAATATCTTTCGATCGGGCATATATTCTTTTTGCTATCACCGCACCGTTTTCTAAGGCTTGTAAACACAAAAATTTGAAGACATATTCTTGTATGAATTTAGAGCAGATTTAAGAAAAGAAATGCATTTTTTTAAGCCTCTAAGCAGACTACTGCCATAATCACACATACATACACGTATATGTACTTCATGTAAAGTATTTAAGGTAGTAAATTTTTTATTATAGTGTTTATGCCACCTATATACACACATATGTATATATAGTTTTTTATCACTATTTTTTTTAAATAAAAATTTAATGGGGTCTAATAATTAACCTTTTGTTTTACTATAATTTGCTTTTATTATAATTATTAATTTTTATTTTCTTATATTTTATTTTATTTTTAACTGTAATTGTATGGAACAGCGAATGTTTACTGAACAGAGCTCAGATTGTAAAAAAAAACTCCCAACTCTTTACACTTACTCACGCTTATTTAATGAATCAGTCCTTAAAATTAACTAAGTGATTTCAGAAAAGAAAAATTCCAAACCAGCCGAAGCGTAAATACGATCGATTTTCCGAAGTGATCGGTATCACGTCCACTACTCGTAAAGAAAAGTATTTCGAGCAAATTGAATTATAAACAAGAATTTTTGGAACCATTAAATCGGCCTCTGGTTCATTTTCCGGCATAAAATTCATTGTATTCTAAAAATTAAAAACTCGTCTCAGTCTGAGAGTTATTTTTTCTCCGACTTGGAGACGATATTTCTAAAGGCTGCCATAATTCATTGAAATGTCAATTGTCAAATGCACATACGTAAGCGCACGCTGTGGAGATGTTGTTTATACTATCCTCT